TGAATTACTTCCTCAACCTAAAAAAGGTTTAAGCCTCACAGGAAGAGGGGGGGGTTCTAGTTGCTGTCTACTACAGTCACTGAAATAAACTGTCCACACACTGAGAGCTGCAATGAAGGAAGCATCTGTCAGAGTGCTCCTCTGTAAGTACAACAGTTATTTCTCATTATTATTATCCAGTAATGGTGGAAGCTGTGAAGGTTTCCAGCTAGAAAGCATTGTTTCTTAACAACTTTTTAAATGATAAAATGCTTAAAGGGGAACGCCTTTTTTTTTACATTGGCCCCTTGATTTTCCATTATTCCATCATGTTCTACTCACCCATATGAGTTTAGTGTCATTTGGAGCCGTTCTGAAGATATTCTGTTAGGTTATATCCAAGTGATGTCTTCCTATGGGCAACGACTTGAAGGCACAAACTAAACTGTTCATCATTTATTCTTTATGGTACGCCAGCATTCAGAACATGGAGGCGAGTCACTGTAGTAGTTTGTGCCTTCAAGTCGTTACCCATAGGAAGACGTTCCTGGATATAACCTAACAGAATATCTTCAGAACGGCTCCACATGACACTAAACTCAAATGGGTGAGTAGAACATGATGGAATAACGTAAAATCAAGGGGCCAATAAAAAAAAAAAACGTTGTTCCCCTTTAATATTTCATAGGGATGTATGCAGAGTTTTCTGCGTCAATCTGAGCAGGTTGATTCTTGTATATTTAAATCCTCCTTTTACTTTATATTTAATTAAAAGCAAACAATGTGAGCAGGTATAAAGCCTTGTTTGATAAAAATGTTATGTCTCTGTTATTATTGTGTGTTTGTCTCAAACACAAAGATGTACTAAAACCATTTTTTTTATTTGACAGCTACATTACACTTGTTTTATGGCTCATTATTACTGTTTTGCATCAAACTTGACTTTTTTTGTTGTATGAGTGTTTTTGTTTTTCACTATGGTTGAGTGAATGTGGCTCTAGTGTAAAGAGATTTAAACGTAGAAGGTCCTAATTAAACTAGAATATTTATCATTCATAAAGCAGATTTATTTACTGTCAAAAATATCACATAAAAAGGCAATAATTAAAAAAAAAACTTTTAGGAAGGTTAAAATCCTATTTTCAGTTTTTATTTGGAGGGGAAGGGTTACAAAATATGTAACTTTAAAAAATTGGATGAAATTGAATTCACATTTATTATTTAAAGATCATGTTAAAAACAGGCTAATATAAATATTTAAACTTCATAACTTGAAAGAAAAAAACAGTCAGAGAATAATTAGAACCATGTGACTCAGAATATATACATTTCCAATCTAATGCAGCCGTTGTTAACAAATGTTGAATTCAGTTTCCACATTTAGTGTTTTTCTGTATTTAGCTCTTTCTTTCTCTGCATGCTGTCTCTCTGCTCTCTCTCTCCTCTGTCTCAGTTCTTTCCTGCAGCAGTTTGCAGGCTGCACTCAGCCCCTCCTTCCTGCATTTCAAAGCACTTTGATTAGAGAAGTAATGAAGTGAAAAACAGATGAACCCAAAATAATAGCTGTGTTTAATTAAACTCTCTTTGCCTGAGTTTAAGATGTCAGAACAGGACTGAATGCTTGAACTGGGAGGACTAAGGAGATCATTTGGTTCTTATTTTAGGACAAAGTCAAACACACAGAAATGACGCCATAGGAAACATAGATGTGATTCTTTAAGCTCAGACTGTAGTTAGGTTTCTTTAAATGATCAGAAGCAATGGTAGATTAGGTAGATTAGCTA